AAAGCTGCAATTGGCAGTAACTAAATTCCCTGAGGTTTCTCCCCTCTGCACTTTGCTCCTGAAAGGTGCAGAAATGCTTTTGACAGCATCTGTCCTGCTGACAGATGAATTGTTTTGACAGGAGAATCTGAAACCTTCCACCAAAGGCACATTCAGATGCCGGGCCTGGTGCGGGGCGATCGTGTCTGTAGGAATAAGTGAGATGCTTTAGGCTTGTGTGCGTGTCAGCTGTTACCTGGAGGAAAGGCCTCCTTCAGGGTTTCTCACTGATTAACTCTTGGGGTGCTCTTCAGACCTGAGATGAGAATTCGCACCCCTCTCTGCACAGTCCTTGGGCCGAGTAAATGGATTTCCTTCATCGTTGAGAAATGAATGTTGTGAGGAAGCATAGCAGTCAATGGGTTAAAAAAAAGCAATAATTTTATTTTTATATTATAGCAGGGAAAAACACGGTGTTCATAGAGACAGGATTCACAAGAACCAAAAGATGGAAACATCCCAGAGGTCCATCAGCTGTTAAAGTGGGAAATTCATATATATATATAATATGTATATATATAACATATATAAATCTCCAGATAATAGAATAATGGAGTATCATTCAGCTACAAAGAGGAACAGGAAATACTGACACAGGCTACAACATGGATGAACCTTGAGGACATTCTGCTGAGTGAAATTAACAGACACAGAAGGCCAGATACTCTATGACTGCACTGCTGCAAAGTACCTGGCATGGTCAAATTTGCGCAGACATCAAGTAGAATGCAGGTGGCCAGGCCTGGGGGGAGAGCAGAGTGGGAAGTTAGTATTTCGTGGGTATAGATTTTCAGTTGGAAAAGATGCACAAGTTCTAGGCGGGGATGGATGGTGGTGATGGTTGCACAATGAAAATATATTTAATGCCCGTGAACCATACACTTAAAGACGGTTAAGATGGGACATTTTATGTTGCATGTATCTACCACTGTAAAAAATAAGCGTGCTGGGAGTTTGTCTCCCAGAAATGAGCAAATAAGAAGATGTCTGAGGATTTTACTCCGGGTTGTATTTATTTGTCAGGGAGACTAAATATTTCCCCCATTTCTTGATAAAGCGGTTGATGATTAGTACCTTATACTGGAATTAGGACTGGTTTATTTCTCAGGCTTAGACACGAGGCTGCACTGCGCTCAGAAGCAGAGCTGTTCCAAGGACTGGAGCTTCAGCGCTGTCTTCTGTCTGTTGCTCCTAGGCGCTCTGAGAGTGAGGAGAATTACTCTTCAGAGCCAGTCCACCGACACTTTCGTCTGTTGATCCATGGCTTTTCTAGTTCATTGAAAGTCGAAAAGTCCCTGCATCCAGATGGACCCATTGAGAGCTGAAATTTCCACTTGCTGGTATCTCAGTGTTAAGTCCTGATGCCATCTGGCTTCTTGATGAAAGGAGCTTATGGAAGCCCCCTTTCTCAAGCCACCTAATCCAAAAGCAAAATTTGTGTGGTTTTTAGTCCTTTTTTCTTTTTTTAGCTTTATTCTTCTTTTTTTTTCTTAATGGAGTTTCTGGGGAATTGAACCCAGGACCCCATGCTTGCTAAGCATGCACTCGACCACTGAGCTATTACCTACCCTCCATACAACACTTTTGAAATGTAGCTGTATTTTGTCTGTTCTTTGAGGGAAAGACTGACCAAGGGGTGTAGAGATTTAAGGTGGTTTTATTCTCATACTGAGTTGCTGAAGGATATGGCCCCTTGTGGGGTGGGAATTAAGGGCTGTGGTTTCATTCCAGATTGTTCCAAAATGGAGCCGCTGGTCACTAATGGAGACCTGGAGCCTGTGAGCCCCAGCTTCAGCCCTGGCCACGTATAACAAGCCAGAAGCAAGTCATTCATTTTAAACCTAGACTGGAGATTGAAAAACGGTGGTCCTCAGGCTAAATGTGGTCTGCAGATATTTATGATATATATATATATGTGTGTATATATATATATCATATATAGTATTACCTATATGTGTTTGTAGATTTATATGTTTATGTTTATTTTTAAAATTTGGGAAAGATTGCATATAAAAGTTCAGAGATTGAGCTTCTCTTGAAAATGGAGGGGACTGGCCTGTGTCACCCTTGTTTCTGGAGACAGGAGCAAATGCACTTTTCAGGTCAGTGGATGGGCATGGCTGTGTTGGCCTCGTTCCATACCTGGAAGGTGACCACCTGCATTACTTGCTTACCCTTCCAGGCTCTTGCTTTTGTGGTTTCTGTGTCTTTCTCTAATGCCTCCTTCAGCTCAGCAACTCGCACTACCTATGATGGTATAAATGTCACAGTCATTATAAACTGTGTCCGTAGGCCCAGAGACATCCCCCTTTGTCATGCTAGTATGCTCACCATAAAAGAAAATTTCAATCTGTCTAGTCCTTTTTGTGATGGGAAAGAATTCTCTCCACCTGTGGATTTCCTGTTCCAAGTCTGACCTGTTAATTTTTGTGTCTCCCGTTGTAAATACCTCCAAGAACAGACAAGCTCACACTTGACTTGAATAGGTAGTTTAAAAATTACCACCTTCAATTTTTACGGTAACATAATCCTTGGACAAATTGCTTTTAATTCGGGCTGCGCCCTGAGCACAGATGTACCATTAATTTCAAGGGTAGTTTGACTTTTATTTAGATGAATGTCTTGAGTTGACAGTGAAATGGCTCTCAGCTCTGGGTTAGTATTGATTGGAATGTCTCTGGAGAAAGGTTAAAAGATAGTTGCCACTTAATGTGTTGCTGGGCCCCTTAGGAGACAGACTTTAGACTCACGATTCATATCGCTTATTAATTGGCAGTAACGGCAATGGAATTAACATCTGAGATGAAGAATGTTAGCCAACCCCTTCGGCATAGACAAGACTGGGTGTATTTTGCTGGCAGGGCGTGAACACAGTACACAGTAAGAGGGCAGGGCCCCTGGGGACCACATCTGTGGCTTCTGTTCCTGATTGATTAACCTGGTCTGGGTTGAGGGGTGTGATCCGAGAAGCTCAGCTGATCAAACATAGACCACTTTGCCCCTTGTCTGTCTGTGAGGGAGGAGTCTGGGATGAAGGGGAGAGATGTGGTTCTGAGTAATTGTGATGGCAGCTGTCATCTTGAGAAGCCTGCTGGCCTGTGAGGCTTTCACTGCGTTTGGGTAACACCAGCATGATTTCCCGTGTTTGTGGCTTCTCTCCTATATGATTATCCCTTGAAATAAGTACTCATTGATGGTGGAAATGCCTCTTTCATTATAGCCTTATGATTAGACTGTACAGTGCTCACTAAACAGTCTAAACAGTCCTTTCAACTTTGACTATACATCTGAGTGATTTTTTAATCTTAAATTCTTGTTTAGACCAGGGTTTCTCAACCTCTGAATACTACTATTGACACTTAGGGCTGGGAAGTCATCTGGTGTTCAGGGCTGTTCTGTGCATTGTGGGATGTTGAGCAGCATCCTTGTCCTCCACCCACCTGAGGCCAGGAGCAACCCCCTCCTCCTTCCCCTGCAGTTACGACAACCAGAAATGTCTCCGCACTTTGCCAAATGTCATCCCTGGTTGAGGACCACTGATTTTTAGACAGTGAAGGGTCAGTCCCCTGCCCCTCTTTTCCTTTACTACTGCTTAATATTGTTGGGTGCCTTGGTAAGCATTGATTTTAAAAATGCCATTTAGAATAGCCTTGGACTCGGTATAGTCCAGGGCCCTGGGACCAGCCTACTCTAATGCAGTGTAGGAGAACTGGCTTCCCTTAGAATGTCTTTAAAAATTGTCAGGTGGACAAATGGTATTGATGAGAATCCATTTAGATTTAGCCTCAAGTGATTTCCTGTTTTCACAGTGGCTTGTTGATGGATCCAAGTGAAGACAAGGTCTGTCTGTAAGTCTCAGTTCTTAGTAAGGTTACAGAACGTAGAGCGTGAGATAGGGGCAATTATGAGGGAGAGGGATGGGGTTTTTCCAGGGAGACAGGCAGACGATGCCTGAATTTGGGGTATAATGCCGAATGTTGCTTCAATTGTTTTCTCTTGTGTTTTGCTCTCCTTTTACCAGGAACCTGAGTTACAACAAACTTTCTGAGCTCGATCCTGCTGGTTTTGAGGACTTGCCGAATCTACAAGAAGTGTGAGTGCTTTTCCCCTGGCTTTGCGGGTGGGTAGGGCGTGGGGAGGAGGTGGGTAGAGCTCTGGGTGGGGAGCTCCTTGGGAAGACCCTCTGCTATCGCAGCATCGCTCTCACCCCTGGACCAGCAGTCTAAACGTGTTAGAGGAAACGTCTCCATACGGGCTGTCAGTGACAAACTGGCCTGCTTACTTAGCTCCCTTCACTGCCGCGCCTCTCTCCTTCCTGGGCAGTCAGTGGTGGGTGTGCTGCGCTCCAGCAGGTATGGAGTTGCTGGAAGTCACCGGTTCACAGTGGGTGTATGTGAGAGTCCCCTCCCTTGTGGGAAGCCTTGTGGATCAGCTGGATTAACACACCTGGTCGGTACTTCCCCCAGTTCCTAGAGGGGTCAAGCAGCCTGCTTTGCATGGGCCTATGAGCCAGCCGCCCACCCCTCTGTTTCCCAGGAAACAAGGTATGGGAGAGTGGACAGTAAGGCTGGCTTTCTCGCTCCCGTATCCAGACGGAACTAGGCATTGCTGCCTTGGGAGCTCTAGGCGTGCTGTCTCTTGCGATTTCCTTTAAATCAGGCCTCAGTCTTTTTCCTCTTCTTAATGTAAAAGCGTTCTGTCTTTAGCATGGGTGTCAGGATTATCAGGATTTTAACTCTACAGAGACTTTAGAGAAATTTTCACAGAAGTCGTACATACATACCCACTGCAGAAAATTTGGAAACTGTAGAAATCTGTAGAAATATATATAAATCACCAGTATTATCACCAGACCTAATAACTTTTGTAAACACTTAGTGAAGAATATATACCTCTACACATACAATTTTAGAATCAAGCTGAATATACACCATGGTTTCATATCTGCTTTCTTATTCTTACATTTTTGAACACTTTGCCATGTAAATTAAGTTTTTGACTGTCTCATCTTAATTTTTATGTGAAACTACAACACATGAATATGCCGTAAATGATTCACCCAGTGCTTCTATTGTCAGATACTTTATTAGACAGTATTAAGTAAGTGGTTTCCATATTTTACTTATTATAAGTAAAAAGTCCTTGTTCATTATTCTTTGATTCCATTATTGATGATTTATCTAAAGGAAATTTAATTTCATCAGCTGATACAATTTGTAAAATATCCTATCTCTGTCCTCAAATCCTCCAGATTGGTGGTTATGATTTCCATGTCTGTTTACAAAGTGTTGAAACTTCCAAAGTTAAAAAGACATCAGAGTTGGAAGGGGCCCTTGGAAGTACTTTGTCCAGGACCCTCGTTTTCCCGTAGGGTCAGTAGGCCTGTGGTTGGGGCAGGGAAGTTTGGAGTGGGTCACTGTGTTAGTTTGCCATAATAAAATGCCAGAGACTGGGGGACTTACACAACAGACGTTTATTTTGTCATATTTCTGGAGGCTGCAAGTTCAAGATAAAGGTCCTGGCAGAGCTGGTTTCCCCTGAGGCCTCTCTTCCTTGACATGTAGACGGCCGCCTTCTTGCTTCCTCTTCACATGGCCTTTCCTTAACATACACGCTTTCCTGGAGCCTCTCCCATGTGTCCTAATGTCCTCTTCTTAAAAGGGCAGTCCTGTTGAATCAGGGCCCATTCATGTGACCTCTTCAAAGACTCTGTCTCCAGGTATAGTCACATTCTGAGGTACTGAAGGCTAGCACTTCAACACAGGAATTTTGAAGGATTACAGCTCATCACAGTCCTTCAAGATGGTAAACCCAGTCCATCAGGGAGCCAGTTTGGTTCCTAACCCATTGCTTTTCCCCTGATCCAGGCTGTCTTTAATGCTGGTGGCTATGATATTCAACTTTCGTGTGTTTTAAATCTCAAGGCTTAAGGGTTTTAGACTTGAACAAAACAAAAACTGGGGTCTTTCTTCTGGCATCATTCAAGCTTTCATTTAACATTTCCTTGAGAACCTACTGTGTGCCAGGCGCTGCTCTGGATCCTGGGGATACAGGAGTGAACAGGACAGACTAGTAGGGCTAGGACTGGGGTCAGGTAAGTGAGGCATTTGCCTCAGGCGCAGAATTTAAGGGGCCTCCAAAAACTCAGCCTTTGAGATAAAGGATATCTTAATGCAGTATTTAAAATACCAAAATGAATGCCAAAAAAACCCCGTGATGAACAAAATATAAAAAGTTCAAGTGAAGTCAGGATCAGCGTTACTGACCCCTCTCCTTTTGCCTCGGGCCCCAGTGAGACTTGACACTGTTGCTGGTCCTATCTGGGTGTGAAAACTTAGGTATTTTGTTCATCATGAGTTTTGTTTTGCACTCACTCTTACATTTAAAAAACACTGCGTTCAAATATTCCTTACCCTGGCTCCTGAGTTTTTTGGTGGCCCCTTAAATATTGCTCCCTTCTCACCCCACCCTGGGCTGCAAACAGACCTTGCCGCTCATAGAACGTGCATTACAATGGGGACAGACATGCTGGGAACAAGGAAACCTGTAGGACTCACTGGTGGTACGTGTCAAGGGGGAATAGAACGGGGCCATGTGAGGATGTTCTTTTGTGATTTTGGAAAGGTGATAACGGTGGGACTGGCATAGCCAGGACGGGGATGATCAAAGTAGGCAGATGTGAAGGATGGGGACAGGACAGACGGCAAATACAGGCCCCCAAGGAAGGGACAAGACAAGGGCCACTGTGCCTGGTGTGCTTGGAGGGGGGTGTTGCCAGAGCCTGTAGGGCCCCATGGGCCACATGAGGTTATGATTCCAGCATCACTGACAGCCCTCCCGCACATCTAAATTGGGCACGTGGTAGATGCTCCCTTGAGCATTTCCTGTGTTGTTCTCTCTAGTTCTCTTTTCCCGTTTGTTCTTTCCCCAGACAATCTTCAGCTTTCATCAGGTTTGGTTCCCTTGACCTCCGGCCTTTAATCCCCCTTCTACTTGATGCTTTTTTGGTACTTAAACCCCACCCATTCTGGAACAGAGAGCATCTGACTTGCACCTGTCCTTCACTGGGGATGCTGGTTACGGGTCTTAAAAATAGGTTTCCCGACTCACAATAGCCACTGCCTTCACCGCAACACGGTGCTGGGCCGTTGGGGAGGACTGCCTCATTTAATCACGACACCAGCTCTGTAGGATTTAAACAGTTTTCTTTCCGGTCATTTTCTCCTCTTCACAGAGGAGGAAACGGAGGCTCAGAGAGGTTAAATGAACCTGTGCCGTGCTACCCAGTTGGGAAAGCCGAGAGTTGAACTTAAAGCCGTTTGATTCCCAAACCTGTAGGTTTATCCCTGAAGCTGCACTGCTCTGAACCACCTCACCCTGCCTCTTAACCTGCAGCCCTCACACCTGACGATGTGCCAAGGGCAGAGAGTCCTGGATCTCCTTGTATCACTCTTCCTGCACCGGTCTTCTCTTTCTGGGTACCGAGTATTTCCTCTTATTCCTCCAGACCCGTTGTCCAGACCCATACTACCCAAGCCCAGCCTCCCTGCTCCCCTCACAGTCCTCCTCTGAACTCCTGGTGCGTTTAGAGACAGGAGGAGGCTGCTCGCCCCGTCCTCTGCTCTCTCCGTGTTGTGTGTGACTTCTCTCCTGCCTCCTGCTAGCGGGCTCAGGAGTGTTGACCCTCGCTCACCACTGTGCTTAGCCCCAGGCTCCTTATGGTCATTCTACTATTTTTCAGACTGTGGGAGGAACCGAGGCCTGAGAACTTGGCCGGAATTGCACCTCTAGTGAGTGAGAGAAGTGGACCTCACTCCCCAGTCTAACTCCCGTCCCAAGCTCTCTGTGGCAACATGACCTTACTGGGTGTGGGAGTTGTAAAGACATGAATTGCATCTTATGGATACAGGATGGGAAAAATGCACATTTGGTAGCAAACGTTATGGGTTTGAATTCTGGTTCTGCCCCCTTGCTGGGCCTGTGTCCCTGGACAAGTTACTTAATGCCACTTCTGTAACATGGACATAATAACACATTATCAATAATGTAATAATTAAACACATTATCAATGTTATAGTAATTATTCATTGGAGGGGACATCCAGGGCCTTGCACATGGGAAGGGCCCACTGTGTGTTATTTCTCTTTTCTTTTGCTGCTGTCAGAACCACACAGTATCTGTGAGCTGTGGGTGCCTTATTAAGAAGTAAGTCCTCGAGAGCCAACAGGCTGAACCATTTACCACCGTGACTGCTTCCAGTCCCTGGTCTCACTGTCGGAGGGACAAGATGAAGTCTCCGGTGCCCAGAGTAGTGGAAATTCTCACTAATGAAGATCCAGACCTTTCCCTAAGGAAATTCTCATACATTGTGGAGGCACAGAGGCTGTTAGGAGTGAGGGGTGGGGATGTGGGGATGGATATTGAAGAAAAGAAAAAAAATCACAGTTGACACACAGTTGCTTCTAAATTCTTGGGGCCTGAGGTCTCCCAGGAGCTGTCAGTGCTCCTAAACCCTGCATGGCCATCCGAGTCTGGAAACCTCAGTAGAGGGGAACCACAGGCTAGTAAAGCGGCGGGCAGTGGTTTAGCAGCGGTTTTATTTTGGAGGCTGGGAACCACAGAGCATCGTGGGCCAGTTGGAGAGAGAAGCCAGCCCATCGGAGGCCCCTGGAGGACGTGAGGACACTTGTGCAGCTGCTGCCAAGCCACATGGGCCTCACTGTCCGCAGCTCCGAGGAAAGCCCACCAGGGAGGGCCTCCAGCCAGGGGCCCTGGACGGCGAGGCTCCTCTATTAATAAGAGGGGCTATTTATACCGTCGTCTTTAAAAACCTGCAGTCGGATCGCATTACTGCTGCCTGGCCTGGCAAGAATGCTTCATGTGGGTGCTGCTGTGTGCTCTCCAGGGCCACTGACCTAAAACGTTCCTGAAGGCGGCGAGGAAGCCTGAGTGTGCCCTGCCTTTGGGTATTTATGGCTCACCCTCCTGTGTCCTGGGCTTACGCTCCTGTGCACGCGCGTGTGGTGTGTTTAAGGGAGGGGTGAATTCACAGAGGAGGGGGCGTCATTTGAGGCCCCGCTTTTTGGCTGTGAATTACCAGCACCTGTTAAGCATTTAGTATATATCTGGCTCTCTCCTAAGCTGTTAGGTTTAATTATTTCAGCCAGATCCTGCCAAAACCCAGTGAACTTGGTGCTTGGAATATTCACATTTTGAGGGAGCAGGAAACTACGGCAGAGTGAGGTTAAGTGACATGCTGATGGCCATTCGATGGGTGCGGAGTGGGATTGGGTTGAATGGATCCTGGTCTGTCCGATTTAAAAATCCAAGCTGTATAATCCCCTCTGAATAACCCTTGATCGGCTGCGCCTAACCGGGCCTCAGTTCCTTCTTACAAGGTGAGCTGATCACATGGTACCTTCCATAAAGGGGTGACATGTAACTCAGTGGGACGTGGCACGTGAAGCCCTCAGCACAGAGCCAGGCACAGGGTACAGCGCAGGCGCTTAGTATTGTTTATATAAGTGTGGACTGGAAGTAACTATATCCTATGTCATTATATTAAAAAAGCTGTGTCTAGCCATCTGGTTACAAACGGTATCATATGTCTGGCCAAACTCATGATTTAGTCTACCTTGTTCTCAAGCAGCTAAAGTCACTAATAACAGTTACTGGTGAAGTGGCCCTGACTCCAAAACCCGGGCTCCTACCTGCTACTGACAACTTGCTTCTGCTCAGAAAACGAAACAAACTGACTTCCAACCCCTGGCCCACCTTTGACTGCTACATAAGGCCGCTCTCTGCCTTTGGAAACAACCAAAGTGTCTGTGAGTAATGGGTCAGCTAAATACAATCCATTCATACCGTTCACGCCTGCAGAGGAGCTCCCTGCTGCTGGGTGAAAGAACTAGGGGGCTCTCCAAGGTCTGTGACTGAGAGAAAAGCTGGTTCAGAACAGTCTGTGCCATGCACAAGCATGTGCGTGGAAGAAGAGCACGTGTACACCTTGAGTCGCGGGCAGCGGGAGCGTCCTCCTGGACCAGAAGGCGAAAGGGCAAGGGGACCGTGTGTTTCCATGGATGTTCCCCGTGTTCTTTTTTGAAACTGTTTGAAAACTTCATGGTGCCCTTTGTCAGCCATTCAATATATAAAGATGGCCAAAAATTTTAAAAAGACAAAAAAACCCCAAAACTGAAAAGCGCTTTAACTCAAAATGACTCCATGAGTTTGATTTTCATTGTCTGTTGATGCCTAATTGGATTGAGACAGTCACAGTAATTTAAGCACTCTGCACCATCCTTTTTAACATTTTGCATCTTGCAATTTTGTAAAAACTTCCTTTAAGCAAGTTTCACAGAGAACTGAGGGGGCCCAGAAGGCCGGGAAGGGCCTGACTCCAGGTTCTGCCTGTGGATGGGTGAGTGGATGGGGGAGACAGTCACCCCCATCTGCCTTTTTCACACCTTTTCCAGCTGCAGGGTTGGGCCATGATCTGCATTCTGATGCTTCTGGAGCACTTCTTGGTCCTGAATCATTGGGAGATGTTAAGTTACAGAGGCCAGATACTGTAGAAGGAGTTTTTCGGGCCTTGGATGGAAGCGTATTTGGGAGGGGGGTGGAGTGGGAAGTGTGGAAGCCTGCACCGCCTCAGATAGTCAGAAGATTGCATCAAACACAGCCCTAAACGCTGACAGTGTCCTTATGCGTGGAGACTGGGCTGAACTTCCCGGGGGCCCGTTCCTGCCCGGCTCTGGCTGTGCTATTTTTGACCAGTCTCTATTTCAGTCTGGCAAGTTGGTGGTGTCTCACAGCAGGTTGGGCCTCCGTCACCTTCTGGGGTTGGTGTTCTCGATTCAGCAGGGGACAGAGCGAACAGAGAGCCACCAGTGCTGTGTGTGGAGCAAATAGACCTAAATTTACTAGCAGTTCTTTTTAAGTAGAAATGATGGAGAAGAAAGCTAGCCTCGTAGGTCTTCTCCAAGCCTGACTGTCCTTCTCATAAATCAGGCGGCCCTCTTGAGATCAGAGCCTGCGATTTCCACCTCAACATGTTGATGCCAGGCTGCTCCTCCAGACAAAAAATGCCCTGTTTGTCTTTAACACTGGTTCCAGCACCATCCACTCTTTCCAGCATTTTTGGTAGGGATTGGAGTATTATTAGGGTGCCCCTTTTCCTTGTTCATTTATTATTCCAGGAAAATTGGGTGGAGCAGTTTGTCATGTGCACAGTAGGCCTAGTTTGAGAGCAAAGCTGATTCAGCCAAAGTTCCCCTGCAGAGAAGGCCATACTAAGTGTTTCGGGTTTAGAATCAATTCAGACCCTAAGCAGCGGACACATGGCTGCCATGTTACCTAAGGGATGATCAGCTCCGCCTGCTGGCCTTTCTGTTTGTGGCTCTCCTTTGACTTGTGGTTGTGCTTGGGTGCAGCTCTTGTCCATGTCTCTCCCTTTGTGTCACCCTGGGGTGGCGACTTAGAAAACTTACCTGTTAAGTTAGGGATCAGTACTAGCACCTCGTTCCCAACTCAGAGTTGTAATGACGCAGTTACATAACGCACGTAGAGTTGCAGCTGTGGTTATAAAGAGAGAGGGTTCCTGGTTAAGAACCTAGACTTCAGGGCTAGACCTCCAGGGCCACGCCACTTACTGCTGGTGACCTTAGTCAAATTACTAAGCATCTTAATGATTCAGTTTCCTCACTGGTACAGTGGGAAGGCTATGGGGTCCACCTCATAGGGGGTCTAAAGATGAGTTAATATATTGAAAAGCTCTTAGGACTGTCCTGGCATGTAATAAACCCTCAATAAGTTAGCTGCTTCTGTTATCATTATGACCTCCAACATCTGGGTTTTAGAATAAGTCTGAGAAATGAGTTCTTAAGCAAGCTGCCTTCTTGGCAACAGGCCCCTGACCTTAGTTTTCCTTGTTCTGCTAAGATCTGAGGTTCTTGTCTAGTAATGCGTACGTTTGCGGTACCATGAAAAGGTATTAGTCAGGAATTAGACTGATGGAAGGTTTTCAGCATCCCTGTAACAAAGACAGGAGATGGATCACAGCAGGGTCGGAGAGATAAAAGGTGAAGCAGAAGCAATCTGATTTAGGGGGCAGTCAGATAAGAGACTGTTAAAGTAATTAATTGTCTACTTCAGCACACAAACAAGGGCCCATTAAGTGGAGAAAGGATTTGCCACATGATACGGATCTGTTCGCTCTCTGCCAGATGCTTCAGTCATGAAGCTATTGAAACAGACATTCTGTGTCCCTCGGCCCAGTAATTGGCAAGCTTCGCTCTAACTGGCTTTGGCGCTGGAGAAAGCCAATGGGATAATTCAAAGCCTTTTCCCTTTTTTTTCCCCTTCCTATTCATTTCTGTAAAAGATGGCAGACAACCAGATTATTCTGTTCAAGCAAATGCTAGCTGTACACTTGTACAAATACAGCTGTCATTTCAGTGACGTTGTCGGCACACCATACATAACAAGATGCTCTGTGGAAGACACAGTCTCTTAAAAAATGAGAATAAGATAACCCAGCTTTATCCCCTTGATTCTGCATCTCAGATATAATTTCTTCCCAGCCTGTCACCCGGCCAAAAGCCTGATCACTGTGCTTTGGCTTTCTTAAGGATTTTTGTGCTCACTTCACAAATCTGATTTTGGACTCTCTTCCCAGATTTGGAAATGCATGTCCTTGTAAGGAGGCCAAGTTGCAAAGCCTTTGGTGGTGGACCAGGCGAGCTGTGTTCTGGTTCTCGGGCTTTTCCTTCTATTAAGAGTTCCGAACTATGGAAGTACAGATTTAGAGTGTTGGAACCGGAAGGGGGCTTGGAGAGCATCTCTGGTCTGGAGAGGATTTTCAAATTGTCTCTGTGCAAAAGTGTGTGTGTATATGGATGTATTCCTGGAAAACATGTCTGGAGGCTTCACTGGAGTCTGGAGGAGCTGGAATCTCAAGTAGATGGGAGTCTCCAAGTCCAGCTCTTTGCTGTTACACAGATGAGGCACTGGACCAACTGGCCCACGTGTCCCAGGCCCCTGGGAACCCCACGGGCGTGTGTGAATCTCTGGTGCTGCATCCAAGCATGGCGCTGTTTGGTGAGGGCAGAGCCGGATCTTGGATGTGTGAAGAACAACCAGGAGAGGGGTGGGCCTTCCTCCTCTAAATCCTTTTCTCCCCCCCCTCTTTTTTGTGATGTATAGTCGATTTATGATGTGTTAATTTCTGGTGTACAGCATAGTGATTCATATGTAGATAGATAGGTATTCCTTTTCATGTTCTTTTTCATTATAGGCTGTTACAAGGTATTGAATATAGTTCGCCCCAAACCCTTTTCTGACCATTCTAGCCCACAGGGAGTGCTCTCCCTCAAGGTCTGGGATGCTGTTATTCTGCTTTATGCATCTTGGTGTGTTTCCGTGGTTCCCTGTCTGTTAGTCTTGATTTCTGAGCTAGGTTGGAAGTTTCTGGAAGACGGGCAGCATCCCCTGAATGTTTAAGTCCCGAACCGTGTGGGTGGTAAATGATTGGATTTTGTGACCTGGGATAACTTCTCTCCCACTTAAAAACTCACTTTTAAAGTATCTTGAG